ATACGGTGAAATTTACAAGAAGTGAATCGCTAATTACACCACATAAGATTTCTGTAGTAAATCATTAGTCATTGCTACATCTTTTGTATGGAGTTCGTATACCCAGGCCTTGTTTAGATTGAAGAAAATTTCAACCCGATGAATAGTAGCACTTTCGTCTTATTTGGTAAATATTGTCCAATCGTAGACCAACTAAGTTCAAAAGATTCATCTCGTGATTTCCAACTAAACTGTGCAATTAGTTATTTTTTTTACCTACATTTAATACTCCATGCAAGCGGTTAAAAATTGATGTGATGGAGAGAGAGTGAAAAAACTTGGAATTTTGGAGTGATCTAAACAAGGCCCCATTTCCATGTCCTGAAAGGAAAGCAAGCGTCCATTCCATTCACTACTGGTCCTTTACCAAGCAATTTATGAGAAGTGGCATGCATGCACAACCTACGGAGTACTGGTCCAAACATGGCAGTGAACTTCCAGCAAAGGAAAATGCACCTGCTAACTGAAGATTCGCCTAAACAACCACGCTGAGGTACAGATGATTGAAGGCAGATTCATATCGAATGGAAGCAGAGTAAATGAAACTTGGCTGTGAAAACACAAGTGTTGAAATGGAGTATACAACGACCTTGTGCAGCAGAAACGACTGTCCATCCACCGATACCGCCACATCCTCAGCGACATCTGAAAATATCCTGCACACGCACAGCAGGCAATGCAATGAACCCAAAAGTTTTTATTAGACACCAAGATTAGTTAGCACTTGAGATGGCTATGCGTAGAGGCAAATGGTGAAGGGATCTAGCTAAGAGGCAAGACTAGCGCGGCACCGGCATAGTAGCAAGCTGTGTGTCCTGTTCATGTTTTCCCAACTCCCCAAATATGCATTTGAGGAAAGCAAAGCCGATGGGGATCCTGACCTCCTGTGGCTGACGGCGGTGCCGCAGAACCGCGGCGACGTGGTGGCGGCGGTGGAGAAGGGGAACAACACGGCGGCAGCGTCGCTGCCCATCCCCATGCCTCCTACTCCTCTTCTGCTCCCTGGTCCGGCCGCCGGCTCAGCTGCCGCCGCCTGCTTCTCTCTGTCTCTCCCTCTTGCCTCTGAAATGCTCTCAGCAGTGGAGGTCTGGTCTGGAGTGGTAGGAGAAACGGACGAGGCCAAGGAATGATGGACGGTCGTTGGCGCGTGGCAATAACAAATTGGGACTGGGAAGGGAGGCAGCGGAAGAAAGAAGAGAGAGAAAGCACAGACAGCGACAGAGCAGCATCCTGTCTTGATCTTGACGTGGGACTGCCGACTGTGGGAGGCAGAGGGGGATTATTATAGGAACAAGATTATGATTAGCTGAGCGTCTGATGAGCCTGAGAGAAAAAGCGACTCGACGACGCAGGCGAGGAATAGTTGGGTGACTAGGGGACACCGCCTGCTCCACTGTTTCAGCTGATTATTGTGAGAGAAAAATACTGTTCTGGCAGGACATAAACAGTGATTTCGTGAGAGAAAAAATAAGCCAGCCGGCCGGCTTAAAGCCAGCCGAACAAGCTCGGAATGGATGGAGGCTTCAAAGGTTCCCATGCTCATGTAGCCATCGTGTATACTAGAAGTATTTTTTTTCTTCTTCTTTTCACTTTTGTTACTGCCACAGCTACTCCTACACAGCACAAGGCTCAAGTTTGCCGTGTTCATTCATAGCCATGTCTGGTGTAATAACTCATCTTCTATGTTGTTTCGATAGGATAGGATAGGGTGTAAACTTTCGAGGATGAACTAAACATGGCCTCAATGCCAATGGTACCGGAGCATTCTGCTGCCTCGCCTGCCCCTGCTTCGTGTCCACCAGACGTGCCGAGACGAGACTTTTAACACCAACACTTATGCTGGCTTTGCTGAGGTTGAGCCGGCCGTTGACATCGCAGGGGCGCATTATGGCTGAGTGTATATATAATATATGTGCTCATTACGGATCATTACCATCACAAAAAAACAGATCTCGAGTCATCGAGTGCTGGCGCGAGCATCCACTCCGTACATGCATGCAACGCAGAGCACTGTGCGAAACTCTCCCCACGCCACACATGTGCGTTCCACGTGTGCGCGAGAATGCGACAACAGGTGGGCCCCCGGATTTAATCGAATTTTTAATAGTTTGACACAGAGAGATCGAATTCCGAACAGGAGCGGTGCACATATGCAATCGATGGTACCACGGCGAGTTTTTGGCGTGAGGGAGGGCTAGTTACTCTGTACATGAACTGGCATGATGATGACAAGCAACGTGACATGATGGCACCATCACCAAGGACAAGGAGCGGAGGCAATGACTAGGCACGGAACTCGAGGAAAGCTACTAGTACTGCTGCTGCTGCCGTGCTAGAGCTCCCGAGAGCCCGAGGACAGCAGCAGGGCCATGTCGCTCGCAGCTGCGCGTGCCGCCGGGGGCCGTCCCTCCACTCTACTCTCATCCAACACGTCTCCAAATAATCTCTCACTCTGCTTTAATTTGATGTAATAACTTGTTTTCTCGTAAAAATGCACTATCGCTCCTCTTTGCAACTAATTTTAGAACAAATAAAAAAGCGCAAGCATAGATTGTCATTGATTTCACCTACTACTTACATGCGTCATTTTAGACAAGATAATAATGCGTAAAACTTAAAAGGCATACATAAACTAATGTATGGATAGGTTTTTTTTTTAAAAAAAAGGATATCCAAAGATGTTGTTGACTAACTAATCCAGAATATCGCATAATTCAAGACAAAACTTAAACTTTCTATACCTTGTATTTTAGGATACACGGAGAGCGCTGCTCTTTTAGGAGGGGACATGCTCAAACTCTATAAGCTAAGGGCAGCTTGGATGGCAACTTATGAACTAGCCCATAGCATATTGTTTCATATTTTAATCGAAAAGAGAGAGAGAAAAACTACCTCTTAATTAAGAGCTAGTCTCATGCACACCTTGCACACCAAACAACTCTAACGCGTATGGATTGAGTTCAATACATAGATATTCAAATAAGGCCTTAATCTACCCCTAACACATACAGGTTGAGGTGGATATAATATTAGCCAAACAGGCCCTTAAGATATGATGTATTATATGCATGCATTTTACCGTCTGGCTCCAAATTAACCTAGTTCGGAAGTAATGACACCTTCTACTAATTAAACAATGCAAATATGCAATCACTCGGTCACATCACGTACCACACATATATGTAGTGTGATAAATGAGGCATGCCATTCTAACCAAGGATATATGTTTGGATGAGCTAGAACAAGTTACTAGTTAGGCTATAAATTAGTTTAAATTAGCTGAGGCTGGCTAGTTATTTGGCTAATAACTAGTTGAAGACTTAGCTAAAAAATTAGCTCATCCATTAGCCCTTCCGTTAGATGCATTAAGATTAATTTTAACTAATCTTTAGGTAGCTACTACTAATTAGATCTTGTATGAAGCAGACCCTAACTGTATTTTGTGTCATCTAAACAAAAACCAGTCGTGTTTGCACTGGTTTTTTGGCAATTTATTTTTTGAAAGAAATGCTTTTTGTCAATGTTCTGATAAATAAAGGTCATGTCTTGTTCCAATTTCAATGGGAATCTCGATCTGACTAAAACATCGTCTTTGCATGTTCCAATTACTTGCTTTAAGCTTTTAGCCTTTTTTCATCACGTTGCTCTCGGTCAAGATTCCCGATTACCAACATCGTGGCATTTTATAGCTCGGGATCCAAGACCGGGAACACATGGCAAGCCTTTTTCTTTTGTGTTTTTTTCTACTCTAACTAACGAGTAACCACATACCTGGCCCACAAGCTGAAAGACCAGATGGTCCACCACGTTAAATGGGCTGTATCATTTTGTTTATTTTGCACCGAGGTATTTTTCTGTTCTTTTTGAAATTGTTAGAAAATAGAGGACGAGAGAGATGGAATTGAAGCAAATGATTATGTGTTGTATTTCAATGAATAGTGTGTACATATATATATACAGAGCCCATGTGGGCGGTTACAGGTATGAAAGAGAGAGAGGGGTGAAAAGACACCCCTTGGATTAATCCTTAATTGAGCACTAAATAATAATTCTCAACACTCCCCTTGATTAATTAGCTCCTTGTAGTCTTTACTGTTCATTTATTATGCATCTTTATGAATCTTTAGAAAACCCTGTGGAAAAACTAAAGTAATGCCGGTATACCAGGCAAAACTCCTTAAAACCCAGTGGGAAAAATAAGGAGAAACACCATAATATACAATCATCAAAGTTATTAGACCATTCGAGATAAACCCAAAGCCTTCGTCTAAAAACACCTTAATCATAGGGTCAATATGCTTCAAATATCATCTTCCAAACACCCCAGCGGGGAAAATAGATGATATAGCATATACCTTTGTGTTGAACATTGCCACATCAAAAAATTTATATGAGAAACCATAAATGGAAAACTCACATAAAGGAAAGAGTACAATGCATCTTATGTCCTAATATCATCTACCAAAAACCCCTGTGGGAAAAATGGATGATATGACATAACCTTGTGTTGATATTGCCATATTAAAAACTTTATATGAGAAACCCCAAGGAAAAAACTCATACAAAGAAAAGAGTGCAATATGATGTTTGCAACAAGTTATTAATCAGAGAGACTCTCCCCCTGATACTAGCAAACCTTGAAGTAAATTCATACCAATGCACTCAACACATACGAAATATAGAGTATGGTAGACTTTGTGAATATCTCTGCAAGATTATCACAAGACTTAGTTTGTAAATGTTCATATGTCCATATCACCTATGGAACAGAACCATCTTAGTGCAAATTATTGCATTAAATATAACTTGTCTCCATCTACACAACACAAGTTGCATTACCTTTATAGATAATGACCTTTGATTCAATAGAATCAACACCACATAACTTCAGTATGTGATATATCATTCTGTCAAGCTATACACATTAATGTAAAGCCTTGTAAAATACAATGTCAGAATGATTAATAGAATTGACCATTAAATGTCTATTTAAAGACTATCACAAAATGGTCTTTCTATATTCATGTAAATCGTATTTCAATGATTTGGAATTTGGGGATCTTATAGATAACCGGAATCATTATATCCACATAATCGGATCATGGATTACACCAAGACTATATGTGCTATTTCAGATATCAAAATATATTCTTAACTTCAATCCACCAACATTTGATAGGATTAGCGTTGCTACTCGATAGCAAATCATTACAAAAATAATATTCGACCGGGAATTTTTGCAAGATTTATTAGCGCATAAATAGCACAAAGATAATGGACCACATGTCCCAATATCTCATCTCAATCATTATGGCATAAAACAATCTTTCTCTATCATGAGGTAGAACAACCATAGGATACCTTTATATTGAATCATTCAATATGATATGGATATAGATAGCTTTTGTACAAAGTCCTAAGAGAAGATGTTTGGATCATAAACATAAAATGAAATTTTGCTTTAGTCCGTATCTTCCATCTCAAACTCCGTCTTTAGATTACTACGTGCTATTAACATGTGTTCGTTTTTACCAATGATGTCAAGATTATTGACCATCGTATAACGCTATGAAATCCAATCAAGGACTTCAAAATGAACACCCACGTGTAATCAATCTTGTACCCCTTCAGTTTAGGGAATACACACAAAGTCAATTGTACTAAATTCGACTTAACTGCTTTAAGCCATATATTGACTTAAGCAATACACAATATATGTTGCGATTTTATGTATGAGGGTTGGGTATATGAACTCCTTCCTGGAAGCTTTACAAATACACCAAATCAAGTGGTCATATAAATATATGTAATCACTACATCTATCAACTATCAACTGCAAAGATAGATGCTTTTGTACTGCCAATCAAAAGATAGTATCAGAAATTTATAACACTCATTATGGAGAACAATTTGCATTGAAAACCAATTCTTAGGCTTTGCGTAAACCCCTTGTGCTACTAGTCTTGCTTTGTATCTCAC